TGTGTGTGTGTGTGTCTGTGTCTGTGTCTGTGTGTCTGTGTGTGTGTGTCTAGTTAGCTACCAGGTGCAGCAGAAGGATGCGTGCTACATCAGCGTGTCGTCTCGGCCCTCGGCTCGCACTCTTGGCGCTCAGATGCTGCAGACGCTCAGTCTGAGAGCGGCCCTCGCAGACGCCAGGATCCTGCGGCTCACAGACGCCGCCGACAAACCCAGCGCTTTCCAGCTGCGCAAGTTCTTCAGACGCCTGGCCTTCAGACAGGTGCAGCAGCAAACAGTAGAAGCACACACCAAACCATACACTCGTTCTCAGCCTTTGACTCGCTTCTCAATTCCATCTCTGCCAAACACAACACATGATCCTCTATGTAACACACACTAATCTAGAGCTAACTGTAATGAGAGTGCACCTGTGTGTTTCTCCGCAGTGACTTCAATCCTGGCTCGAGCGCTGCAGACGACACGACCCTCATCACACACACACACACACACACCGCTGCTCTTCATCATTAACCTGTGCTTGTGTGTCTGCACGCTGGGGTTGTAGATACACCCCTGACTCCCTGTACAGTATTTATGTGTGTGTGTGTGAGTGATGCTGTAAACACACTCGGACGAGGAGACGCCCCAGTGTTCACACGCAGCATGCATATTCATTTACACAGTCCAAGTATAGAGAGGGAACTCTGAGAGAAGGATTAGCGAGAATCGGTACATCTACTGCCACTGTGTGAATAATAGGCCATCCATAAAAACACAAGTGCAATCTTGCAATCCAAAAACGGAATGCTTATAATTAGATTAAAGTACTTGTTATAAAACCGATAGTTCCGGTTCTTGATTCTGATTGGCTGAGCCGCGTTCAAAGCTGTTGTAAATGACTCTACAAAGTAACACACACCTTTGTTTACGTTTGTGTGTTGCTCGGCAACCACTTTGTTGCAACCACAACTGTTTCTGAGGAGCTACATTGTTTGGTGGAAGAATACTGTTTTTATTAATATCATTACACTTTATTTGCTCTGTTTTATTCTGTGAAACCTAACTACGTATATGGAATAACCGTTTTATAAAAGCAATAAGCCCCGTGAAGCCATGGTTTACAGTGAATTTATAACAGCTAAGGGGGTTTTTAATAACGGCTTCACGGGGATTATTGCTTTATAATCAGACTACGGTTACCTTTTAATGGACTACATTCACACAATGGCAATAAATTATTATAATCTATTGATTCTCCTCTTTTTCATCTTTTAAAGGTTCCTTTCTGAAATAGCCCGCCGCTTGCATTCACTCAGAAAGTCTTCGGTTTTGTGGTGATTCACTGGATTTACAAAATCAGTTCAGGTTTGAGAAGTGTTTACATATTGCATCAACTACTGATGAACTCATTAGCTTTTATTTGAATTATCACTCTGCATGTTATTTAACTATGTATTTCTGTGTCTCTGCAAGGCTTTTCTTTCAAACACATTAAAATGCATAAATGCACAAATGTTTCTGTCCTCTGATCCTCTCTCATCTAATATGTTTTTATCCTCTTTCATCTAATAAAGTACCCTGAGATCTTAAAATAATTACTTTAATAATGCAGTATCACATTTGCATGTTCTACAGTATTACAATTGAAATCAGTTGTCTTGTCATACGTGCTGAAAAATATGATTAAGACGACAAAGAGAAAATAATAATACTTGGCCAGTTAATCAATCAGTAAACAGTTATGAGTAGATGCTGAAATTACAACTATTTTACCTGGTGTAAAATCTGATGTCTTCAGGTGACGAAGCAAACCGTTTAAGTCCAAAGGAGTGATGAAGATTAAATGTTTCGAGCTGCTCTCTCAGCGTCTCCCGGTCCACACATACAGTACGGCTGGCCCCGTAGTCGTGGTCCATGACCATCGGAACCATGACGGGATGACGATGTCCTCCACAGGCCCCTCCGAGTCAGGTTCTGGACTTGGCGGTCGAGATTGGCATTCCCAAACACCGGAGCATCTTGTTTGTTTGCGGTAGTGGATGCGGATGAAGATCAGAAACTAATATCCCGACTTCTGGCGACAGCGGAAGTTAGTCTATTCCATCCAAGCCACTTTATTGGTCTGGTCTTTTCTAGCGTATTCCAGGTTATTTAGTTGGTAGGTCAGATGTTTTTGGGCGAGGGTTGTTTCGTTTAGTCAATAGAGTTTTCTGAAATGTCCAGATGTTTGGGTCATAGATGGGAAGGTGTTTGGCCTCTTTGGATTTTTTCTAAATTGTTCCATAAGTCCCAAAAAGAATTTTGATCAACTGCCTGCTCAATTTTGTTTATTTGTATCTGATCAGTTTTCTTCTCTATTAGCAGTGACTTGTATATTTTAAGGCTGTGTTGATATGTGGCTCGTATTTGTTGGTTTGCCGGGTCTCTGTGTCTTTTATTTGATAATGATCGTAGTCCGTTTCTTAGTTTTTGGCATTCTTTATCGAACCAAGCATCTTTAGCTGTTTCTTTTTTACATCTGTAATTTTTCGTTTGGTCTATATCTGTGATGGCGTAATCATTGTTATGCCATAACAAAAAAAAAATCTTTTTTTATTTTTATACATATGTGTTTTTCCCTTTTTCATGGGCTGAATATACTGACACAGATGGTCTTTGATTTTGGTCTTCGATTGCTCATTTTTTAATTCTCCCGGCAAAATGGTCGAGGGGCGGCCTAGTGACTGTTTTAAAAAATACTTTTTTCTCTCGCTGTCAGAGAATTGTTGCAGAAGTTTTTTTCCCAGTTCTGAAGCTCAGCTATTAAGTTTTGAGTGGAACGGTCCTATTCTGTTACCTGTGTTGTATCGCCCGCCACATCTGGTTAAAGATTGTGTTCTTGAACTTACGGAGTTAATAGGGTATATCACTACAAATTGGGACCGTTTTATAGTAGTTGGTGACTTTAATGTTCATGTTTGTTGCCCATCAAACTCCCTTTCAAAGGAGTTTTTAACTCTTATGGAATCTTTTAACCTTACACAGTGGATAAATGAGCCCACCCATCTACAAGGGCACACTTTGGACCTAGTGCTCACTTATAGGCTTTCTATTTCTGAGCTTGAGCTTTCTGATGCAATTATCTCTGACCACAAGCCTATTTTATTCTCGTTGTCACTGCCAAATCTACCTTCTCCATGTGTTGTTGTTAAGCTGTCTCGGTCTTATTCCTCTCGGTTGCACCTGGATTTTAACGTGCTTTTTAATGAACTGAGCTCACAGTTGTCCTTGGACACATCACTTTCTGATCTGAATGTCGACCAACATTTTGGGATGCTAAATAATGTATGGATGGACATTTTAAATGTGACTGCTCCTCTCAAAGTTTTTAAACCAAAACCTAAATCTGAAAGGTGGTTAACTCCCGAAATTCGCTCTTTAAGACAAGCGTGCAGAAAAGCGGCGCGAAAATGGAAAAAGGATAGACTTCAATCTTCACATGAGGTGTATATGTCTTTTCTTCTGACCTACCACACTGCTGCTAAGTCTGCAAAGGCAGCGTATTTCTCAACAATCAAAATAAGCCAACAGTTTTGTTTTCTGTCATAAATGCTCTCTTGAATCCTTCTGTCAATTGTATACCAAATCCCTCAAATTAACTATGTGAAAGATTCTTGAGCTTCTTTTCTGAAAAAAATGTAACTTTAAGATCTCAGGTGGTAACCACTTATGATCCTGTTTTTGTTGAGGTTTCCCAGTCATCATCTGCATGGGAGACCTTTGATCCCATTTCTTTGCAATTCCTCACTGAAATGATTAACTCCCTCAAAACTTCGTTCTGTCCTCACGATGTAATACACCCCCGGTATTTTAAATTGTTAATTGAGTCTGTTGGTCCCGCTTTACTGTCCCTATTGAACAAATGCTTATCTATTGGTTCGGTTCCTGCATGCTTGAAATTGGCCTCTGTTACTCATTTGCTCAAGAAGCCTTCCTTAGACTGTTTTAAACAACTACCGTCCAATTTCTGTGGTAATTTTTATCTCTAAGGCACTGGAAAAGATTGTGTTGTGTCAACTACAATCTTTTCTAAGTACTAACCACATCTCAGAAATCTTTCAGTCTGGTTTCAAGCCTTTTCATAGCACTGAGTCAGCTCTGCTGAGAGTGTTAAATGATATCTTAGTTGCTACCGATTCAGGTGACTCTGTGATTTTAATTCTCTTAACCTGACTGCTGCCTTTGACACTATAGATCATCAGTTGCTCCTGTCTAGATTAGAATCTTGTGTGGGGCTAAAAGGCTCAGTCTTGAATTGGTTTAAATCTTATTTAACAGATCTATATGTTTCAGTCAAAATTGGCAACTTTACCTCCTCTGCTGCCCATCTCAATTTTGGACTTCCCCAGGGATCTATCCTAGCACCTCTGCTTTTCTCCCTCTACATGCTTCCCTTTGGTTCGATTCTGAGAAGGTATGGTGTATCTTTTCATTTCTATGCCGATGATACCCAGATCTAAATGCCTATTAAAAGAAACGATCCTTTAGCTATTGATTCCCTATTTACATGTCTTGATGAGGTAAAGCATTGGTTGGCCAGTAACTTTTTAACCTTAAATGACTCAAAGACTGAGGTCATTGTCTTTGGCCCATCTGACAATTTCAAATGTAACAACTCAACCTTGGATAGCCTGGCAGTTTTTGAATCAAAGTGTGTTAGGAACCTTGGTGTTCTCTTAGACAGTCGGCTCACTCTAGAGAAACACGTCTCCTCGGTTGTTGCCTCTAGCTTTTTTCAGCTCCGCTTACTTTCTAAAATCAAACATTGTCTGCCTGAAAAACCTCTTGAGACAGCTGTTCATGCATTTATTACCTCTCGATTGGACTATTGCATCTCAAAGTCCCAAGTAGCTCGTTTACAACTGGTCCAAAACGCAGCAGCCAAATTTCTTAAAAAAGGCCGCAAATATGATCCTGCCACCCCTTTTCTGCGAGCTCTTCATTGACTTCCTGTTAATTTTAGGATAAATTTCAAAATTATTTTATTTGTTTATAAATGTTTACACAATCTCGCCCCGCGTTACCTATCAGAATTGCTGCATCCTTACAATCCTACCAAAGATTTAAGATCTCGTAATCAAAACCAACTTATGGTTCCCTCCACAAGGCTGAAACGCAGAGGAGATAGAGCTTTCTTGGTGATGGGCCCTAGATTGTGGAACAGCCTGCCAGCACCCCTTAGAGCTGCTCCATCTTTATCGTTTTTTTAAATCTCTTTCGAAAACTCACTTGTTTTCTGTAGCCTTTGCAAATTGATGGTGTGTGAATGTATTTTATCTTTGATCATTATGTTGTGCAGCACTTTGGTCAGTCTTGTGATTGTTTTAAATGTGCTTTAAAAAAAAAAACTAGAACATAAAGAAATAATGATCATATTTAACTACAGACACACTGTAAGTAGTTAAGCTAATAGTTTGTCACATATAATTTTCAGCATGTTTTTTTATCTGGATACGGTCGCTGGTGTCTGTTCTAGCTCTTCCTGCTGCTACAGCGGCGTAGCTGTCTGACTGGCTGCCGGAAAGGTGTCTTACCCTCTCCTCGTGATCAGAGAGTGTCTGAGGGGTTGAGGGGCTGTCTCCTTTTGTCAAAAAAAGTGGTCTGGTCTGAATCAGGAGAGAAATCTGCACAGATCAAGCAGCGTTTACAAGCCAAAACAGTCCAAAACAGCTCTAAACAAATATGTGGCTGGATTTTGATGTGAGAGACGCACTTTTTCACTGGAGGAAGCGTTATTATGGATTATGGATATTTTAGTTAAAAACATCTTGATGGATCAGATTACTCTGATCAGTAAGAACTTCGCAGCTCTGCTGGAGGTGCATGATATATAAAGAAATGTTTTGAGAATAAAGTCGAAATG